GCTTGTCGATATTTCTCTCTCATCAATGTTTCTAGCTCTCTATCCCTCTCTCTTCCTCTCTGTAAAAAATCAATAAAATATATTTTTTTAAAAACAACAAACACTTTCATTATCCCCGAAAGTTCTCTCATGCTGCTTCTCAGTTATTGTCCCTTCCAGAGGGTGACCTCTCTTTCAACTGCCATTGCTACGGATTCTTTTTTCCTGTTCTTGAACTTCAGATAAGTGGAATCATACAGCACAGACATTATTTTATTTTTCTATCTGCCTTTTTTATTCAACATATTGGTTTTGCTGTTTATTCATGCTTTTTGTGTACTGTCGTTTGTTCTTCTCATTGATGGGGCGACTTCTGAAGAGGACAAGGAAACAGCTAGGGAGCACATGAAAAGGCACTCAGTAGCATCGATTGTCAAGGAACTGCAAATGACAACTACTCTGTGGTACCAGAATAAATAAAGCTTAAGAGGACTGGGCTGGGCCAAGGGTTGGTGAGGATGTGGAAGAACTGGAACTGTCATACATTATTGGTGGGAGTGTAAAAGGAAACAATTCCTTTGGGAAAGTATAGGGTAGCTTCTAAGAAAATTAAACATAATCTACCCTATGATTCAAGAATTCCACTACCACAGAAATACCTGTAGAAAAATATCTGAAGCCACTTTATTTATAATGATCCCAAACTGGAAAGAACCCAAATATCCATCATCAGGACAATGAATACATAAACTATCATATATTCAAATGAGGACCTACTGGGTATGAAACAACTTTTCCTCTTTGCTATCTCCTCCTTTAGTGGGCCTCACGCCCTCTTCTTGGGAATTCCACTCATTCTCAACGTCCTTGGAAAGTAAGGACAGCGCATTGGACACACATATCTCTCACGACCAGATAGATGCTCAACTTTCCCCCGTGGGTATTACACTCTAGATCCTGGGTTGCACAGCATTCAGCAAACATCCATTTCCTTAAACATCTCCTTAGCATGATGCTAGACCCTGAGAGGAAGATGCTAGTCCATGTAGAGGAAATAATGGTTGAAATCTTGAATCTTGGAGTCAGAAAGAATGTTGCTTGAATCCTAAGGCCTTTTTTTTTTTTTTAAAGCAAAATAACAGTTTATTTTTAACCACACCTGGAAATTTCAACAAAAGAACAAACTTGAAATTAACTAAACTTCATTTTCTCATGGCATTGAGTATTGCATATTTTTCATTTACACTTGGGGGGGAAAAATGGTTTTGAGTCCCAAGTCTTACTAGCATGTGCACAGCACAAATAATAATAATGCCACCAAAAGAGTGTTCTAAGAACTGAATGAACAGGCAAGTGAAGTGCATAGCACAATGCCTGGAACTTAGGAGGTTTTAACAGATGCTAGTTGTTATTGTTATTGTTACTATTATAATTTTGACAAGCTAATGAGAAGAAAAGATAAGTTATAACTAATTATAAATACAAAACCAATGATCAGAGGTGTGAATGTAGAGGTGAAACGCATTTTGAGGACATGGCGAGAAAGGAGAGGTTAGTGTGGGGTGGGGTAGGAAACACTGGTAAGATTTTTCACAGGCTTTCTATGGAGCTGGGCCTCAGCTTGGGAAACAAGAAGTGGGGCTCTAATTTCAGTGATGAAACAATGCAAGAAGAAGCAACTTGATGTAAGCAAAGAGCTTCAAGGTTGAAACCCTACTGCCCTACATTTGAATCTACGTTCATTCATTTATTAGCCGTAAGATTTTGGTCAAGTAATTTAACCCCTTTAAAACTTCATCTTTGCTGAAACCAGTTTGGCTCAGTGGATATAGCATTGGTCGGTGGACTGAAAGATCCCAAGTTTGATTCCGGTCAAGGGCATGTACATTGGTTGAGGGCACATCCCTGGTAGGGGGTGTACAGGAGGCAGCTGGTTGATGTTTCTTTCTCATCAATGTTTCTAGCTCTCTATCCCTCTTTCTTCCTCTCTGTGTAAAATCAATAAAATATATATATATTTTTAAATAAATAAATAAATAAAACTTCATCTTTATTATTTGTAAATAATGACAACTTCTATTTCTAATGGTTGTTGTGAACAAAAATAAATATTTATCGAAGACCCGGTACAGTGTCTATTATTCAACCCACAAATTTTAACAATCACTTTAATTGTGAGAAACTGAAGGTCCATACACACTGCTCCTCTCGGGGTGAGGCTGGAGGTTCTCTCCAAAATGGCCATATCATGACCAACCTGCTGGCAGTGGCCTATGGCAGTGACTCTTTCAGGGTCATAAGACACTTAGAGCAGCTTTTTCAACCAGGAAAAGGCACACATGCATGACAATTTTTACATAATTTCAAGAAGTTCTAGGACTCCCCAAAACAGAATTCATGGAGCTGCTGCAGAACAAAGCACAAGGCACACTCTCCAAGGCAAGTGTGTATCTCTTAGGGCCTCCCTCTGTTATCTGCTATTTCATTTTAGCTGCAAAGGAAGCAGGACAGTGACCAAAATGTGAGAGCAAACTGGGTAAAAACATTTCTGAGACTACATTTTTCTCACGCAAACAGTGGACCACACCTCAAGCACCACTAATGCTGTGATATCTTGGGCTGCCTCAGGCTATCAGCCTGCATACAAGAGCCCCTCTGGGCAGGTGGACTTGTGGGCTTGTCCGTAAGTCCACATGGAGTTGTTTGTCAAGTCCCTGCTTGCCATCTACACCCAAACTGATGCCCACCTCCGTACACTCAAGTGCCACCTTCTTATTTCCAAAAGACCAGATTGGCTAAGAATTTTTTGGGTTTTTAATGTGTAGCTTTTCTTCCTGATGGCTTAACACCATGCACACTAACCTAAATGTTTCATGATATTGTGAGATCTTGATATGGGAAAAATTATGTATTATCACAAAACAGTCTGTGAACACTACTCTCTTTTTTCAGAATCCCAGCTTTGATTTAATCTTGATGAAGAGGTTATCAATAAACCTGATTTCCAGTATTTTGCTTCCATTATCACCACCTTCATCACCACCATCATCATTATCATCTTCATCATCTTCATCATCCTGCTGTTTCTGGACACCTGTTCACCCCTCATTCCATTCTCTGTCCTTCTCTATATCCTAGGAGGCTGATTCCTACATTCCACCACCCAGGCTCCCTTCCTCTTGTTTCCTGATTGGCTGAGGTATTGGGGAGGTAGAGGTTGGAGCTCAGAATCTTGGCTACTTCTCCCCCACTCCCTCCCTGCTTTGTCTGCTTTCCAGCCATGGCTGCCTCCCTTCAACCACAGCTTCTGTTATGTGGCCCCTGATCCAAGAATTCAGCTCTCACTCGATTCAATATACAACTTCCTCTCTTTGCCCTTCCAGGACAAAGTGTGGTTAGCTTCTGGGTGGTTCAATATCCATGTTGAGTTTCCTGCCCACTAGGTAAACCTTTCATGGATAGCTCTGGTGCCATTTAATTAGATTCTGTGTCCTGCCAGGAGCCTGATGACAGTCATCTCTAGCATTTCCTTCTCTATGACTATTATGTACTAATTGCTCCCCATGTATCAGACATTGTGTTGAGTTCTTCACCAACATTAACATCCACCTTCACAATAACCCAACAAAGAATGGATTATTTCGAGAAAGTAGACTTGGCATTTATAACGATCTTATCCCAGGTAACACAGCTAGGGAGTGGCAGAGTCAAAATGCACACTGAGATCTTTCTACTTTGGAGATTATTTTTAACCTGTCCACAGTTTTCCTGTCCATGTCAGAATCCTGGAGTGTGTGTCCAGATCTGGGACAACATAGCCCTCTGCTAAGGAAACTGCTCCATGTTTGAATTTGAGCAACAAGGTTGGCTCACAGCATCACCTGATCCAAAGAAGATGATTGCATAGGCGAACTGACAATCTATGGGGTAGGCTGGCATTAAAACTCTGATCAGTATGGGCAATAGTAAATTAGTGAGGCAAACGAAACTCTCCCTCCCAAATTTAAATGAAAAATGCTAAGGAAATTGGTCAGGAGGTAGAGGGGAGAGAGAAAAAAAAAAAAAAAAGTAAAACCAAGCAAGCAATGAGAGTGTGAGAGTGACATGGCCATATGCAACAGTGACCCAGATGCAGTAATAAGAGAGCATGTCCCTGGAGCCAACTGAAGGCTGAACAATGACTATGCTTAGTTGCTCTTGATATGTAGCTCCTTTCATCCATCAACTCACCTCTGATCTAAATAATCGCTGGTCACACCTTCCCTTAGAATAATTTGACTGAGTTGACACACACACCCCCCCCCACACACACACACACAGTTTTTACAGAAAGCTCTAAGCTTACACCAGTGAAGTAACTCCCTACTTGCCACATTCACTCTGGCTCCCTCTCTAAACCAACACGCACATTGGAGCTAAAGTAATTTTTCCAAAATGCCCATCTAACTTTATTAGTCTCCCTGCTTAACATTCACAAATGATTTCCTATTTTTTTGTCATACAGTGAAAATCCCCTATGGTGACCCACAAGTTCCTGCATTGTCTAGCCTCCATCCTCCTCTTCATCCTCAGCCAGAGCCTCTGTGCCCTTCGCCCCGCAAGACCAGCAACATTGCCCTTCCAGAGCCCCCAGTTCATCACACTCCTTCCTGCCACTGGGCTTAGCACAGACTACCCTGTCTGCCCACAGTGTGGATCCCTTGCGCTTTCACCAGGAATGTATCCCTGACCTCCAGGTCTGACAGCAACCTCTGGGCACCCCTCTCTTGCCTGGTATTTTTCACAGGTGTCCCTGTTTGCGTGATTACTTGATTAATAGCAGTCTTTTCCCACTAAGCTCTCTGAGATCAAGATCTGTACCTGATTTTGCTTCACTCTTGTGCTCCCCAGTATTTTATAAATGCCTGGTCCACCGTAGACACTCAAATATTTGTTGAATGCGTAAACAGTTCATGTCTGTATAGTTGTTATGGAGGAGATGACAATAGTAACAGTGAGCAAGTGACTGTTGCTTGGGAAGGGCCAACACACAACAGGAGGCCAGAGTATGTGTGGCTGCACGCACAGCACCCAGGACCAAGCCCTGCACCTGGAAGCGGAGCCCGGCTCTTCTGCAGCCCCAACATCCACTTCAGCGCCTAAGAAGATGCCCAAAAGGTCAGTGGCTGTTGGATCTCCTTTACTGCGTTTCATTTAAGTGTGCAGGTGTATTTCCAAAAGGTTCCTGTGAACAACTTCATAGCCAAGATATTGGTGCTTGTTACTCACCCCTATCCAGCTTCATTCTGAATTGGAAAAATAAAGAGAAAGATTTTAAACTGAATTGGAAAGATATGAGAACAAATTCACAAACCGAAAAGGTGATACTATTAACTCAAATATCTTTGATTGCTCTCGAGAAACACCTGTAAATCAGAATTGGTAGTGCTATTAACTATATGACATATTCTTTTAACAATTTCCATGACAGAGGAAATTGTCTCATATCATTCAAATATGTAAAATTATGACTAATAAAGGTATTTGCTACTGTAATTCAAAAACTGTTTTTTGAATACTTAGCCCAGAGTGGGAGATACAAGATAACCTCACTAGCTTGGCTTTCAAGAGCCTCAGAAACTAAGGGAGGAGACCATGGTAACAGGAAATAAACCAAGGTCCAGGATATCCTAGAGTTTTGCAAGTAAGAAAGATGAGGATCCCACGGGCGATGATCTATTGACAAGTTAATGCCAAAACCAAATCTTGAATCTAAACATTCCCTTTAAAGATACAATATGACAAAAGATATATGTTAAAGACATGACCAAGTTTTATGGTTCTTATTGACACTCTCAAAACCACTCCATCCATGAGGGGCTGAAATATCAAGCAAACATTGATATGGCCTTTTTAAGGGAACAAGATCCATCTTCCCACCTCCCATCTAGCCTTGCTCTAATCTCCTTTTCATGTATCAGGTGAAATAACTTCCCAAAATGGGAATCCAATCATGGCATGCCCTTCCTTCTCAGTGCCCTTGATAAGGCTCAGCATGCTCTGGCTCTGGTCCTTGACTCACCTTCTACTACTATTTCCTTCCTTCTCCAGGTTCTAGTCACTCTGCTTCCTTTGGCTCTTTAATCAGACCATGCTACTCCCACATCAGGGACCCAGCACACACTGTTTCCCCTGCTTGGAACACTCGTCTTCCTTCCTCATCTACTGAGTCCCTGGACTCAGAGAAAATGCCATTACCCTGACCTGTAGCCTGGGTTAGTATTTAATACTTCATGCCCTGAAGGCATGCTCTGTTGTTATTATTTATTGAGCTGCCCGTTTAACATCTGCCTTCTGCACTAGACTCTAAGCCTCAAGAGTGCAGGAACCTGTCTCGGCCATTCCCTGGTGCATCCCCACTCCCCAGCACAATACCTAGATGTTAGGGAGGTAGGCTAAGCTGTCAGAACAAATAAACTTTAAATCCTCAGCGTTTTACAGAGGAAGAGGTTGTTTTTTCTTTTTTATGTAACAGTCCAGAGTGGGGCTTTCTGGTCAGTGGCTATTTCACTCCCTTCAACCATAAAAGGGGCACAGGCTGATGTGGCAAGAGTTTTTAACATGTAGATTCCAAAGTATCCCTGATCATTTCTATGTTAGATCTCCTGACTTCTCTTTACTTTTCTTTTTCTCCTCCCTGTACCTCCTGATCAATTTTTAACATTTTTCATTTAAATTTGGGTGGGAGAGATTTTCATTTAAACTTGGGAATGGGAAAGAGCATGGAAGAGCTTACGTGGAAGGTGATCACTTTTCTTCTACTCCTTTTCCAATGGCGATAATTTAGTCACATGGTCACAAAAATACACAAAAGACTAGGATATGTGAGCCAGCCATTGTCAAGCACTTCTTTACCTAAATGCATCAAGGAAGAAATAATTTTAAAAGACAGATGGAAGATGCTGATGACACCTCGCTAAACCAGCAGACAGCAGCTGCGTGTTGCTGAAGGATGCCCAGGACCAAACCAGAGACCTGCATCACCACCGTTTGGACACCAGCCAGATCTGAAGTAGCATGGCTGACATATATACATAAGGAACTATTTGACATTGACATTGGGACTCAAAAGAACTGTCAGTCCAGAAAGGAACTGACTACAGACTGATTCATTTGCCTCTCAGCATAACCATTATGGCTTTTCTCAGTTTAGGTTCCTACAGGGTATTTCTTAGATCACAAGATCTCACACATCTAGAGGAAATGATGAACAACATAGACTGATGAACAAAAACAGACTCAGAGAAAGAGAAGCACCGAACAGACTTTCAAACCTCAGAGGGAAAGTAGGGGAGGGTGGGGGTAAAGGGGAATAGATCAACCAAAAGACTTGTGTGCATGCATATGGGCCTGGCCAGTGGCCATGGACAACGGGTATGTGTGTGTGTGTGTGTGTGTGTGTGTGTGTGTGTGTGTGAGGGCATATGTAGGTAGGGGTTTGGGATGGGATTGGGGGGATGAGGACAATTATGTGATACCATAATCCACATGTGTCAAACACAAGGCCCTTGGGCCAAATCCGTCCTGCCAGGCCTTGCAATGTGGCCCGCACCGCGCTGTCATCACTGCACTCCGCTGCGTTTCCATCACAATGACAGTTTATGACTGTTCAGTAAACCATTCGGCCCCGCGATTTAGGCTGGATTTTAGATTTTGGCCCCTTCTCTGATTGAGTTCGACACCCCTACATCAATAAAAAATGGGGGGAAATAAAAAAAATAAAAGACAGATGACTACTCCACCAGAATATTCAGTGAATATTTATGAAACATAGTTCATCTTTAAGCCATTGTATTGCTCTACTGTAGATGTTTATTTCAATACCCAAACTCTTGGAATCATTATATTTCTTTCATTTTGTTGGCAGAATTTCAATATCCAAACAACTGGCTTCAATAAAAGGTAAGGTGTGGGCAACTGAGATATTCGTGCTTCTTTTCTACTATGACAGTTAACCAAGAGTTAAAAATAACAGGACAGAAGAGAATGTCCAAGATGTAATTGTGGGTAAATCATCAAACATTAATGATGTTCTTTTTAAAGGTTTGGGAACTGAGATCCTGGCATAGGAATTACCCAAACTTAGCCCACCGAAGGCAAAGCCAATCCCTAGTAATTGTGATTCCCACCCGGGGTCCTGTTGTCTCTCCATTGTTGGCATCTTCGGTAAATCGGGAGCAATACCATTAACATCTAATTCATGAATGTTTGGTGGAACTCAGGATGCAGTCAACCCACAACTGCCTCTGATTGAGTGAAAACAGTGTGGCCAACTCCCCCGAAGTATGAATATTTGCCCTGAGAATTCCATTTCTATAAGTAAAATATCTAGATCTAACACTATTGCCATGGAAATAACAAAATAATTTTTAAAAACTCATATACTTGGATCATTATCTTATTCCAAAATGTGTGACTTAAAACATTCACAGAGAAAGAGGCACAGCTGGATTTTACTGCATTGCAGTTGTTTTTCCTCCGAAATGGCTGGCCAATGTCGCCAAAGGAGACTTTTTCAATTTAGATAAATCATCTTGAAAAGATATTTACACTATCCCAACACCAGACCTTATGATTTCTGTTTTACAATTTACATAATTTCAGGTATTTTTTATAATTTCTATGACAACATCATGACTATGATATATATCCATGACATTCCTAATACTTCCTCCCTTTGAAAGGTTGAGGAGGGGATTAAAACTCTGTCACCTTCTCTGCCTCACATACACACACGCGCACACATGCACGCAAACACACATGCACACACATGCACACACTAACCATTCCTAGTATTAGTCTTTACATTTGAGCTACATTTATTCCCTTAAGAAAACACAGGATCACCATAACTTCTTTTCCCAGAATATGTTTTATTCAACTGTAAGTAATTTTAAATGTTATTCATTGATATAAGAATGCGTAGATCTTGGAATAGAAGCCAGTATGAACTCAAATTTTTTTTCTAGATACTTGAGCTGATGCCCTTGATCTCTTGGAGGGTGGTAGTGGAGGATGAGGCTATATTTGTCTGGAGTATCCAAAGTCATTTTTTAGTGGAAAAGGTTAAGAAGTGCTATAATATTGAAGAAAAAAATCTAGCAAGAAAATGGGAGATACCTAGTGTTTAATTTTGTTATATATGTATTGTACTACTATATTAACCTGTACTCTTTTGTAGATCTTCATTTCCAAAAATAACAAATATTATGAAAAGCTCTAAATGAGGTTACTCTGACAGCTTGTTGTACTGAAAGTTACACTGAAGTGTCAGGAAGTTATTAGAGCAAATGTTTAATGTTCAGTTTCGTGGTCCAGGGCAGAGTAAGAGGTAGAGAATTGTTTTGAAGCTCAAGTCAGCTGAGAGAGTGTTTTGGTGTGAGATTGTGATAAGTTTATGTTTAGGGAAATAAGAAACACAGAGTAGGGACATTCAGAGTTGGGAGAAGAGTCCTATAGAATACACTGTCTGAAACACAACATCCAGAGGCAATATGCATCATGGTGAGAGACAAGACTGGCTGTGTGACCTTGAGCAAGCTACCCTCTCTGTGCCTCAGTGTTCTCTGTAGTGTGGAGATGATACTGAAGCCTACCTCTGGGGTTGATATAGGAACTGAATGTGTTGACTCGTGCACCCCTGGAAGAGTGGCTGGCAGGGAGAATGAGCTCCACATTCATTTACGACTACCATCCACAGAATTTACGCTCCAGGAAACCAAGGATTCTTCTCTCCACATTGCTCTCTGCTCTGTCTCCACAGCTAGAATGGGGCCTGGCAGTTAGCACTTTCCAGTAAATTCTTGTTGGGAGAATAGAGCACTTAATGAACTACGCACAGTTCAGTACTATGAAAGCGTCAACAATGAGGTAGGAAAGAGCAGGAGAGGTGGACATGAGACGGCCTGTTTAATGCTCTCTCCACACCCCCATTCCAGAGGCAAGGGAGCAGTGAACATTGCCCAAAGAGAAGCATCAGTCCTTTGCAGTTTTAATAACTTAGCCCTTGACTATGTGCTTTTGCATATATCTGCTTGCAATCCTGAAGCAGGCAGGGCGGGAGTTGGAGGCGATGTGCTGGGTTATTAAGTGAAGAGCCAACCATAAAAGCAGGAAACCAAGTGCCTCACAAAGGCGCACAGTGTTGGAAGGATAACTAGCGCTGCTCCTAAACTTCCCTTTTGAATCTTTTCCAGCTCGGTTTTTACCATGAGCATGTGCTATTTTATAGTCAGGGGAAATTCATACTCTGTTTAAAAGAAAGGGGGAGAAGGGAGAGGAAGCTAGCTATTCCAGTGGAGTCCCCATCTAGACCTGAGCTTCAACAGAGGATTGGAAATGCCGACTCCACAGCCTCCATGGGGATGCCTCACGGGTTAGTCCAACGTGGCAGATCTCTCTGTGGGTTTTGAAGTCAGACAGACTTTCAGATCATTTCTCGGTCACTGCTGAGCGATGTGGTCTTAAAATTCTGAACTCTGCATGTGTCAGTCTCCAGATGTAACACTGAGACACAAGTAGCGCCTCCCTCCCTAGGTCTACTCAGCATTAAATAAGATTCTGTGTGAAAGGCCCTTGACACACAGGAAGAAAGGACAGGTCTGTCAAGGCTCACAGCTTGGAAATTCACCCCTCCCTCGCTAGCGGGCACGGAAGGAGGACAAGAGGCTAGGTCTCTTGTGAGAAGTCTCAGACCAGGAAAGCAGCTTCTATGAAGCCCTCCCTAATTAATTAATTGGTCATTAATTAAGAAATCAATTGGTCAAAATTGCAGAAGAAATATTTACCACCTAAGGAATTAAGGTGGTTCCTCTAAGCAATTTGCTTCTTAAAGACAGTAAACACCTTAACTTTAGCCACTTAAATTCAAAGTTACCACTATACAGCACCCAACCAATTCAAGTACACACACTCCAGGAAAGGCAGACACGAGCTAGAAGACATATGCCCATCTCCCTGTGTTTTTTAAAATAAGTTTTTATTGGCTTCAGATGGAGGAAGGGAGAGGGACAGAGAAAGATAGAAACATTAATGATGAGAGAAACATCATGGATTGGCTGCCTTCTGCATGGCCCCTACTGGGATCTGACCAGGAATAGAATCAGCAATTTCTAGTTTCATGGGTTAACATTCAACAGTTGAGCCACACTGGCCAGGTGTCCCCGTATTTTGATGAGCAGGAAATCTTGGCAATTAAGAAGGCTCCCAATTTTAAATGCAGGTTTCCAGATGTGGCAGAGTTGAAATGATGCATAAGAAAGAGCTAAAAACAAAATTCAAAAGCAAGGGAGGCCAGATGGAAGACCATCCATTGGACAAGCAGGCAATAGCAGAAAATATAAGTCACAAGCCGTAGGCCACAGTGAGACTAAGGATCAGAAACTAGAGATAAAATCAAGGAATAAGAAGTTAAGGACACAGCTTTTGTAGACATTCATTTGTGAAGCACCTACTATGTGCTAGGCATTGTTCTAAATGCTGATGATTCCATAGAACACGACACGGGCAAAAAATAAAAAATATAAAAACATAAAATCCCTGTCTTTGTGAGTGTTATGTTTTCAACATGGATCCAAATTCAAGCTTTGCCACTTCCTAGCAGTGTGTCCTCAGAAGGATCATCTTTCTTCCTGGATTAAAAGGTGCAATGCGCCGAAGCTGGTTTGGCTCAGTGGTAGAGCATCGGTCTGCAGACTGAAAGGTCCCAGGTTCGATTCCAGTCAAGGGCATGTACATTGGTTGCGGGCACATCCCCAGTAGCGGGTGTGCAAGAGGCAGCTGGTCGATGTTTCTCTCTCATCAACGTTTCTAGCTCTCTATCTCTCTCCCTTCCTCTTTGTAAAAAGTCAATAAAATATATTTTAAAAAATAATAATAAAATAAATAAATAAATAAATAAATAAATAAATAAAAGGTGCAATGCTGGAGAGACACACTGTGTTCATGGACTGGAAGAGTCTCCGCAGTAAATACATCAATTCTCCCCAAACTGCTTCCTAGGCTCAGTGCAATTGAAGGCTTTTCAAAAATAGTCAAGCTTTTCCTAAACTTTTATGTAAAAAGGGAAAGGCCCTAGAATAGCAAAGTGATTTTGAAAAAGAATAGTGTCAGGAATCACACTTTATAATATTAAGACTTACAGAAACCAGAACACTGTGACAAAGGGTTCGACACATAGATCAATGGAACAGAAGAGGAGACTCAGAAATTGACTGACACAAATATGCTTACCTGGTTTTTAACAAAGAGGCCAAACGATTATAAAGGAAGGGTAGAGTTTTCAACAGCTAGTGCTGGAGTAATCGGTCCTCACAGGTACCACAATGAGCCTCACCCTGACGTCACACCTTAAACAGCAATTAACTCCAATGGATCATGGAGTAAAATGTAGAACATGAAGTTATAAAACTTTTAATTATGCACAGGACAAATCTTTCACAAGAGGCTAAACTGAGGGTTTGACTTTACCAAAGTTTAAAATATTTCTTCCACAGAAAAACCCATTGAGAAGACAAAATGGCAGTTTAAGAACTGGGAGACTATATTTGCATATCACATACCCTACCAAGGACATGAATCTTTATTTGATACAGAATCCTCAAACCTCAAAAATTATTTTAAACTCAATGCTAACATGAACAGACCTGAACAGACATTTCACCAAGGAAGGCACATTTTCATGCAAATAAGGACGTGAAACGCTGTTCAGCATCATTAGCCACTAGGAAATACAAATGAAAACCACAGTGAGATGTCAGCACACACCTATCAGAGGGACTAAAATAAGTAGTGACAATACAAAGGCTGGTGCTCCTAGAGAAAACTAGCTCTTACACACGGCTGATGGGGCTGTAAGATGGTACATCCACTGTAGAAAACACATTATAACTTCTTTTTTAAAAAAAATAGGTTTATCATATAACCCAGCAATTATACTCTTAGACATTTAATGCAAAGCAAAGAAAATCATATTTTGTACAGTAATTTGTACAAAATGTTCATACAAGCTTTATTTCGAATACCCAAACCCCCCAAATGTCCCTAAAAGTTGGATGGCTAACAAATTATGGTACATACTTATCAAGAACTATCACATTAAATGGTGTAATAATTCCTATGGTTGTTATGATAATTAAATCTATTAAGTTATTAAAGTATATAAATAGATGCACAATAAATGGCAACTCCAACCTTCTGTCCAAACCAGATTGCTGCACACACACACACACACACACACACACACACACACACACACACGTCCTTGATTTGCTTTAGTTTGGAGTAAATAAGTGAGTTACTCCCAAGTGAGAAGCAAAGGGGGCCATCCATTTACAAGACCAGGCAGCCCAAATGATTCCAGCTTCGGGCTAAATGGTGGGGGAAACAGCCTGGGTGAGTGGAGAGGACACACATTTCCTCATATCACAGGGAGAGATATCAGCTCATTGCTTAGAATGCCTGGCAGATGTGCATGGACACAAAGATTGTAACAGTACCTAGCACATAGTAGGTGCTCCATAAATATTTTACAGTTCAGGAAGCCCAAGCTTAGAGAGGTAAGGTTTTTTCCAAAGTCAAATAGCAAGAAGGTGGTAAATCTCATCCTGATTCTACCAACTCCATTGCTCCTGAAAGAACTTTTGTTCTCCAGTGTTTAAAGGTCCAGGTCTGATTCCCAGTAGAAGAAAAATAGCCCAAGAACAGAATCAGGTTGACATACACTCTCTAACCCCATCCCCCACAGTTCTCCTGGAGGACATAATCCCACATCTGAAAAAAGAGTATTTCTAACCTGGGTTATGTCATTGTGCATTTCTCCTCCCACAGCTCTGGGGAAGGGCTCAGATCTGGAAAAAGCCATCGCCACTGCTGCTCTGATTTTCAGAAATTCTTCTGACACTGACTGTAAACTTGAAAAAGCTACTGCCAAAAATCTGCTACAAACCCAATTTAGGAATTTCACAGAGGTAAGAGAATTCATAGGCTTGAAAAACAGGAGCAACACCACAATGGCTGGTCCAAAGAGCCCACAACTCTAGCTCAGGGACCCCATCATGTTCTTCATTCACCAAACATGTACTGAACACCTAGTAGTGCTATATGTCAGGACCTGAGCACTGGGATTAATGCAGTGAAAAGCTAGCAATCCACAGAGTAGAGAGATATGCTGAAAAGTAACTAGAAGTATTCAAAGGATGGTGAAATAGTAGAACGTGCAGTGAAAGAATAAAACATAGGGGCCATCTTGGAATATGGTCAAAAAAGGGTTCTTGGAAAAGTAAGGCATCACTGAGAACTAAAGAATGAGAAAGAAATAGCAAGCCCAGGGCACTGGGGTGAGGATGACAGTGTTCCAAGCAGAGGGAATAGCAGATGCAATGGCCCTGAAGCTTGTCAGAGCCCTGTGAGGGCCAGTATGTAGCTGATGGGAAAAGGGGAAGTAGGAAGCAGTGTGCAAGGAGGCTGGGAAGGAGAAGAGAAGCCAAATCTCACAGAGGCATAGCCTGAGGGCAGAAGGAAGCCAGGCATGGTTTCTAAATCTAGGAAGAAGAAATGTCACCAGCTGCAGATCAGATTAGGGTAGGGGTGGGGGTGGGACAAAATAGAATGGTGAGACTGTGGGGAGCACTTCATGGGGAAGATAATGTGATGGTTTGGACTAGGGTGGTAAATATGGGAGACATTTGGAAGGTGAAATGAACAGGATTTGCTCATTGATTGGCTGTGAGGGTTAAGGGACAGGAGGAGCAAATTATGACACCCCAGTTCTGACTTTGGGGGGGGGGGGATGGGTGCTGGTCCCATTCCCAGAGAAGAGAAAGACAGAAGGCTCAACAGATGTGATGTGGGGTGAGGATGGGAGGATGAATTCCATTAGAAGGTGTCAGTTTTAACATGTCCAAGAAACAGAGACAACACTCAGTCAGAATAGAGATCTGTGTTCAAAATATGAAAGTGAGAACTGGCAGTGTACAAAGGGTCACTGACCCAAAGGAGAGTGACCTATGTCAGCTAGAGGCATGTTTCTCCAAGTCAGTCAGTTGAATACCATCTTCAATATTTTCCCCACAATTGCCTGCAGCCTGTATCATAATGTACTTAGAACATTTTTCAAGTTAAGCACTCAACTTAAATAAGTTCATTTTATTTATTTATTTTAAATATATTTTATTTATTTTTTAGAGAGAGAACGAAAGAAGGATAAAGAGTTAGAAACATTGATGAGAGAGAATCATCGATCAGCTGCCTCTTGCACACCCCCCTACTGGGGATGTGCCCACAGCCAAGGTACATGCCTTTGACCAGAATCAAACCTGGGACCCTTCAGTCCACAGGCTGACACTCTATCCACTGAGCCAAACCAGTTTTGGCAATAAGTTCATTTCATAAAAACATTTTATCACTATTCTAAGTGTAAATTCAGTGGATAAATTAAAGGTAGTAAAAAAAATAAGTAGTTTATTCATTCTTATTTAATATTTATTCTTGCATCAACTAAAATTGCATTACCAGCAGTGTGCATTCAGACTTTGAGGAATATTAGCCTGGGGAAAATTAGTAAGAATTATAAGTGGTTTAAAAGATAAGTGTAAGAAATTTAAAAGATAAGAATTATAATCCTCTTAAAATATAAACATATGTGGGTTGGACACACTAGAGCTATATAACCTATCATTTGCTGGGGGAGCTGGGTCAAAGGTTCAACTTCCTGTGAATCTATGATTAGTTCAACAGCACTTGATGAAATTGGCTTTTTAAAAATAGATTCCATCTACATGATTTTTTTAAAAGGCCAATTTGGTAGAAACAGAGGATAGAATAGTAGTTGCCAGGGTTTGTGGGGGAGGAGTGGGGTGGTAAGGCCAAAGGGTATAACTCTTTAGTTATAAGAAGAATAAGTTCTGAGGATGTAATGTGCAGCATGATGACTGTAGCTGATAACACAGGACTGTGCACTTGAAAGCTGCTGAGAGCAGATCTTCAGCGATCTCCCCACACACAAATGATTTAACTATGTGAGGTGATAGTATGTTAATCATCTCGATCTGGGTCATCACGCCCATGAGCTATGTGGATGTCAAATCATCACACTGGACACTTCAAATATATATATGATTATAACTTCACAATTATTCTTCAGTGAAGTTATGAAAGAGTGCACATGAGTGTGTATATGTGTATGTGTGAGAAACGGAGACAGAGAAAGGCTTTAAGGTGATGCACAGAAAAATGACTGGAAGGAAATGTTAATAGCTAGCTATTTGGGGTGAAGGGATAAAGATTTATTTTTACACTAGAGGCCCGGTGCATGAAATTCATACAAGAGTAGGCCTTCCTTCCCCCAGCTGCTGGCACCAGCTTCCCTCTGGCACCAGGGACCCAGGCTTCCCTAACATGCACTCCCTCTTCCCCCCACTCCCATTCATCCAGAAGGTCCTTCAGATGTTCTGAAAGATGTCCAGTCTAATTAGCATATTACCCTTTTATTATTATAGATTCTCTTTTTGAAAAATATATTTTCAAATGTCCAATATTAAACAGTTACTATATTTGAAATAAATTTTTAAAGAAAAGCTATTTTTTCAGCTAGAATTTGACAAAAGACAAAACATTCTAGGGAGTCTTCAAAGAGAAGGTGAGTGAGGAAATCCTATAACCTTTGACTGACTCGGAGGCCAAGAGAAGTGACAAATCCAGAGTGAAAAGGCCCCTACCTGGCTGCCTGTCTGTCCTCAGGGATGACAAAGGGGACGTTGGGGATGGGTCTCTTCTGAGGGCACCAGAGGCCAAACCAAAACCAGCACCGTCAGGAGGTCACCTTAGCCTCCTGCCCCTCAGTGTAGGCTGACCCCAGGAAAGCCGCCAGTTCCTGGGTCCCCATTAGCAAACTCTCAGCCTCCCACAGTCCTGCCCTCTGCTCGGGTGGCAGTCCCAGAAAGCAGGGCCGTATTTCAGGGGTGCTGGGGGACAGCGGGCTCCGAGGCAGCCCCAGTACCATTGGAGCTGGCTGAACTTCATGGAGCAAGCGCCTGGGTAACATCAGAAAGCTGCCTTGGACCAACCGCCCCTCCGAAAGACTCCCTAAGCCGGTGCCCACACCTGAGCCGAGGCAAAGGGCCCTTCCTGCTACTGCTCCTAAGTCCCTGCGTGGGGTTCTCTGCTCAACTGGACTGGACTGGACCCTGTGGCTGAGCCTGGGTCCCCAGGGGCACATCTGCTTTCCCATAAGCCTCCTGGGGGACCTTATTCTATAGCCAGTCAGGTGTGAGAAAACTGAACATATAAAGGCTCTGCAAAGAAGTTACAAAGCAAATGGGGCGGGTCAGGCCCAAGCGGCTGGACCTTGGTCAGCTTCACCTTTTTTTTTTTTAAATATATATTTTATTGATTTTATACAGAGAGGAAGGGAGAGAGATAGAGAGTTAGAAACATCGATGAGAGAGAGTCATCGATCAGCTGCCTCCTGCACAAGGTACATGCCCCTGACCGGAATCGAACCTGGGACCCATCAGTCCCCAAGCAGATGCTCTATCCATTGAGCCAAACCAGTCCGGGCAGCTTCACCTTCTAACACACCGCTCCGGAGACCTGCTGCCTCTCTGCCCTTTAGGTAGTGCTGCCCCCTAGTGAAGGGCTCCCATCTCTGTCCCGGAATCTGACCCTCTCAACACAGCATTCAGCTCTCCCGGAGGGGCTGGTAGAGCACCCTCGTCTTGCTTGAAGGTGTGAATGAGCCCAGAGAAACAGTAACGATCTAAGCCTATAGGGAACATGGTCATTCCTACCTGCCTTAGTCCCTGCTCTGATGGCTCCTTACAGCTGGCACATGTGTGAGCAGTTGGGGCTGAGCTAAATGCAAACAGAGCTCAGTACACCCATGAATCAAATGACCTCAAGGCTTTTGTGGAAGCTATTTCACAAGCTGCGGTTGGAATCTGAAAGGCCCCTCCGTGTACGTACTACTCTCATGTTTCCTTCAATCGGTTTATGAGGACTGTGAACTTGGATATTAGCTGTGATCAAACTAAACGCTGAACAGTCGTCCAAAGCACGTATTTTCTCTTAGCATATTTTATTCCGTATTTCTGGAAAATCTAACTGTCCCATGGAGCCCATGTTGTATAGCTCCCATAACAAAAAGCTTATGTTTTGGAAATCTGAAGACACAACACTATCTGTGTTGATACAGGCAAAATGGCTTAGCAGTTATGGGAGGGATAGGTAACCAAGCTATGAATCTGATGCCAAACCAGGAGCTGCCTGGCTGGGGGCAAATTACTTAAATCTCACCAACTCTCTGATACTGCACCTGTGAAGTGGGGCTAATGATTGTATGTATTCAACAGAGTCTCTGTGAGGAATCAGTGAGACAGCCATGCCAAGATTTACCACAGTGCTCAACTCGTAGCACTGGTAACAACTTGACATGTTATTATAGTTAGTAAGAAGTTTATTATTGCTTTTTCTCTGTAAAACCCGGGTGACATAATAAATTAGTTTTGTGCTTCTCCTTTATTCTTTCAGGGACAAGAAACCAAACCAAAATACAAAGACCTCCTTTCTGAACTTGACGAGCATGCAGAAAATAAGCTTGATTTTGAGGACTTCATGATCCTACTGTTAAGCATCACTGTAATGTCAGACTTGCTACAAACAATATGGAATGTAAAAATGACTAAATAAACAGCTTTCACTATGTAGTGAGACAAAGTAATGACAAAAGATAGTGCTAACTGATTAAAGAGTGTTTTCTATTTATTTTCAATTAGTTGATATCTTGGCATGCATCTGGGATAGCCTGGGTGGCTCTGGTTGCTAATATTCAGACCTGATATAACTCCAAACTCCATGCACGCTCTCAGGAATGCCTGAATAATATGGTCTTTGGGTGCTTTACAAGATGCTTTACCACTGAAGACCACATGGCTCCTGCCGAATCATTGGTGACAGAGCACTTTCCTTAGAGTCAGGAAGTCACTCATTATTCATTCACTAAGTGAAATTTGCTGAGCATCTACCCCTGGGGATGCAGAAATGAACCAGCCACAGCATCCCTGCCCTCACACATGATTGGAGCAGTCTCGCTGAGGAAAGGGACACTGAACAATGTATTAATCAATTGCATATAGAGCATAATTATAATTATGATAAGGGCTAGAGGATGCTAGAAGTGCTGTTATCACCTGACCTTGTTCAAAGGTCAAAGAAGCTTTACTAACATTTTGCAAAAAACAAAATTATAGGGGGGTAAATAAATCAGTGGCTAGGGCTGTGGTGGTAAGTGGAGTTGTCTACAAATGAGCATGAGAGAATTTTTAGGGGAGGGGGGTGGAAATGGTCTGCATCTTGATTGTAGTGTGGTTTCATGACTGCATAACTTGTCAAACTCTTAGAACTGTCCTCTAAAAATGGTGAATCTTATTGTATGTAAATTATTCTTAAGCAAACATGATTTAAAACTAAAAACAACAACATCATTGTCATCTGTGACCATGGTTTGACAACAACCTCTTAAGATTATGATTTAAAAGTGATCATGTCTTAAGGACCCACAGCCCCTATTAAGTTTAAATCATATCTATATATAAATTTAGAAGTCACACAGAAGTCAATGCCTGAACATTTGAAACTGATTTTCACCAAGGTTTTTATTTATTATAAAATTATTGTCACTTCCCAAGTCTCCTCCCTCGTCTCCCCTTTTCTTCCCTGCCCACACAGTGAGCTTCACAGACACAGGCTTGGAAAACTCTTTCTTGGGGAAGACCTTCACCCTGTGTCTAGTGAAGTGCTTTCTCATCTGACAATACCCCAAATCCACCAGGACCGACTCCCTGGCCCTCCTCACTTTCCAAACCTCAGACATTCTAAGTCCAAGCGTTTGCATGCCATTGAGGTAAAGAGCCCCACTCTGCCCTCTCTCACCATTTCAACAGGAGCGACCTGTGTTCAACAGGACTCACACTACACACCAGGCACTAACTTAGGGGCTCTGCAAATATTAACTCATCGAACCCCCCTAATTACTCTACTATCATTTTACAGATGAGGAAACTGAAGCACTGAGTTCTGATTTTTGCACAACTGGCAGGTTTGAGAGTTCTCTGCCCTCTCTGTAGGCCTTGCTAATTTTGTTAATATTAGACTTTGTTTTGAGCAATAATATTATAACCCAGCAAAAATAGCTGTGCACATTTCAGGCGCTGTGCGGGAGAGAGTGGGACCAGCTGGGTCCTGGAGAACCAGTTGGCATTCCTCAAATAGAACTCCGTGGGCTGGTCTTCATCCGAGTCGCACGGAGCTGAATATGGCAACCTTGGTGACCGATGAAAAGGTCAAATTCACACCTTTTGGAGAAGGAAAAAAGAGCCCCTGGCCAATGGCGTGATCAGAAATCTTGGAGCCATTCCAACTCTCTGGGCTCCCAGTAAGAAATCTTTGAAATTCCACCCCAGATGGAAAGTCACACTCTTTTGAGGAGAATATCAATTATAGAATCTATTTTTAACCTTATGCAAAGAATGAAAACTGAGCAAATACATGTCTACATGTTAGAGCATCAGTGACAGATAAACCAATTACCATGATGCTAGGATCCTAGATCACAGAAGCCTCATGCCTTGGTCTAATCCCAGGACCATAAACTCTCCTCTTAGAACAAAGGTGCCATCTTGTAAATGTTACTGGTTGTCATGGGTGAGTTATAGAGGCAAATCTGTCTTGGGATCTCTTGACTGCAAGGAATAAAACCCACTCAAATAACAATCATGCATACATACAGATATACACATTCAAAGAACAAAAGGGCATTTGTATTTATAAAAAATGTACAGGGGCATATTACAAAATGAATAGGCAAAAAAAAAAAAAAAATGCAATTAACATCCCACTGCTGCAAAGGGTAAAAGAAAGCAAACAAGGGCTTGCTGTTGTCTCTCTTAAACTGATTTCTTATCTTTGCTTCTGTCTGCAGGTGGTTGTTAGACTTCTTTCTCTCTCTCACTTTTTTACTAATAATTTTTTTTCTCTGGTTAACTTAAAAATACTTTCATCTTGCTTGATTTTTCTGCAGCTAAACTATAAATTTATAATTTTTCTTCTTTAAATCATGCAATGATGTTCTTTCTTATAAATTTCCCTCTCAGATTTTCTTGTCAGCCTACTTCAAGGAAGTCCATGTGTTCAATAAACTTGCTTGCACTTTGGTTTCTACCAAATGGTTGTTTGATCCAAATATCTGAGCAGCAGACAGAGCTGCTCCTCCTGGAGAAAATATAGTTGAACAGCCCAGACCATTGGGTAGTCAAAGAGAATACCACAAATCTTAAACCCTCCAGTCTGGGGAGGACAGCTGGTGAATGGATATGTAGTGTTAGCAGTCCTGAACCATTGCTTCTGCCTGCACTGCCACAAAATAAAAAAGGAACTCAAACAACTTAAGAGAAAAGCAAACAATCCAATTTAAAAAATGAGCAAAGGACCTAAATAGACACTTCTCCAAAGTGGACATACAGATGACCAAAGGTGAAAAAATGCTCAAAGTCACTGATCATCAGAGAGATGCAAATTAAAGTGACAATAACGTATCATTTCACACCTGTCAGAATGACTACCAACAACACATCAACTAACCCAATGGCAAGTGCTGGTAAGGATGTGGAGAAAAGGGAACCTTAGTACACTGTGGTGGGAATGCAGACTGGTCCAGCCATTATGGGAAACTGTATGAAGTTTCCTCAAAAAATTAAATATGGAACTTCTATTGGCCCCAGTGATCCCTTCTAGGAATATATCCTAACAATCCCAAAACACCAATCAGAAAGAATGTACCTCTATGTGTATAGCAGCACAATTTGCAATAGCTGAGATCTAGAAACAGCCCAAGTGACCATCAGTAGATGAGCGGATAAAAAAGCCGTGGTACATTTACACTGTGGAATACTATGCAGCAGCAAAAAAGAAAGATATCTTACCCTTTGAGACAGCATGGAGGGACCTGGAGAGTTTCACACTAAGTGAAATAAGCCAGTCAGAGAAAGTATCACATGATCTCATTCATATGCGGAATCTAATGAATAAAATAAACTTGATCAAAATATATCCTGAGACAAAGAAGCAGGGAACAGACTGTCAGATCTCAGAGGGAAGGCAGAGGTGTGTGGGTGTGTGGGAAGAGATCAACCAAAAAACTTGTATGCAAATATGTATAACTCATGGACACATACAATAGGGTGGTGAAGATCTGGGTTTCGGGAGCAGGAGAGGCTAGAAGGAGTCAATGGGAGAAAAAAGGAGACATATGTAATACTTGCAACAATAATGATTAAAAACAAAATTTTTAATGCATTGTGCCAGTCTCCTTTCCTCTAATTTGAGGACATGTAGATTCAGATTTCTCTTTGATCCTTTGGGGGGTATGGTTTTAAAATTATCCAATTCCAGAGGCAGGCGATATAAATCAGGAACTCAGTATGTTTTCCACTTTGGCACACTTAAAGAAAACCATGCATTCCTGCTACAAGCTTTTAATACTTTATCCACATTCTCATCTAACAACAATGAACACAACATTTTTCATACTCATTTAGTGACAAGACATGAATATAGTAGTATAGCATAAGAAATATAGTCAATAATATTGTAATAACTAAAAATGCTGCCATGTGGATACTAGAGTTATCAGGATGATCACTTTTTAAGGTATATATGAATCTCTAATCACTGTATTGTATACCTGAAACTAATATAATGCTGTAAGTCAAGTATAATTAAAAACTAAAACAAATTATTTTTAAAAATCAAAGTGGGTCTATATACATGTCTCATATTCACTCTGATTTGTATAAATTCTAGACAAATTATCATCATTATTTTTTATGAATAGCTACCACTAATAAGGTACACTCAATTATTGCCACATGGTCTTTCACTTAATTTTGTAGGCAACTCTAAGATTGTTATCATAAACTCTAGTTCACAAAAGAGAAAGCAATTACAGGGTCACATAGCAATAAGTAGCAGGTAAAACCAGGATTCCACCCCACAGGAGTTCTGTGCCAAAATCTGGCTGCTTTCTATGTCAACAGGAATGGGTATAAAACTCCCCAAAGGGCAGCTTCTCCATTATTGAAGTTTACACCTCATTACAACAAATTATTCTGCAAAATAAGGAGGAAGATGAGGAGGAGAAAGAGAAAAGAACAGAGAAGGAAGAAATTCTTATGTCCAAAACCCAAAGGAAACCAAGAGTTAGGGGGAAACAGTGACTATGTAATGTGTTTTCCTTATCTTGCTATGTCATTTAGTTTGCATTGTCCAGGGAATTCTTTCTTTAGGGAAAGGGTATACAATGTTTAAACCTGTGAGTCCTGTAGCCACGTTTTCCTTGAAGAAAGTGAAATGGCAGGAAAGAGGCAGGGAAGGCGGGAAGGTGGGCAGTGGAGCCCCTGGGCCGGCTGGCATGTGCCGGGAGGAGTAGAAATGCTGATGGAGGTCGGAACCTGCATCTTCCCCAACTCTGCCCTGCTCCTCTCCTCTCGGGGTCTCAGATTCTTCCTTACTCAGTAAAAGGGGGCACAGCCACCATTTGTTCCCCCAACCCCCTCCCCCCAAACCCCTCTTCTCATGTTCTTTTGTGTAAGCCAAGATTTTTTTTAAAGAAAATTACAACAAGATGCCAGGGAGCATATGGACAAA